AGACACTCTGAATTCAGTTCCAGTTCATTTTAGAGGGACTGTTGCTATAAGGACCTTAAGGAAGTGAATGAGGGAAATCATTTAATTAGGGAGGGAAAATGAGGTAATTTTCACTCTGTTTTTCAATTTGGGATTGGTATATCTGAATGATGTGTAGCCAGTATGGATTAAGTTGGCTGATTTTATCAAAAGAAGCAGGTCAAGTATTTTCTGGTCGTTTTTTGAGAACTTCCCTGGTTTTATAATTTCCTTACAATTCAAATACAGTTTGAGTTGGGCTATTTTTAGAAGTAACCAAGCATGCCTCTTTTAAAGGCAAAACTCACTCTATGATGTAAGAAAAGTGAAGAGTAAAAGAGCAGCATAGTTACACTAATATGCCATTGTAGCATGTTCCCATCCTGTCATCTGGAAAATTAAATCAGGTTCCAGCATGGATTAACATCCAGACTTGTGAGGAGGGGAAGGTAGTGTCTTAAATGCCATGAAATTGAACAATGGGATTATACAGTTCACAGCTAATTTCAATATTCTGCTGTATTTGGCTTTTTGTTCAGCAGGATTGTGTAGGGAGAGGCAGGAACAGCTTTTAGAACTTGGAAACGTTCACGTTTTTAATGAAATACTGACAATAACAGTTGAATGTGGTGGAGCAATCAATACCGTGCTCCACAGAGCGCTCACAGTGGTGTGGAATCTGCTGCTGGAGGGGAAAGCTGAGTGTGCTGGCAGTGAGGGCTGTGCTCACCTCCTGAGGGATCAGGGCTGTGTGCTCCCCATCGCAGAGGATCTGTAAATGCACCCAGGGCTCAGATGCTGCTGGAAACGGTGCAGCAAAACCTTACTCTGCTGACCCTTTCCAAAATAAACCCACCTTCAGTCCCCATTGCTCGTGTGAGAAGGGGTTCAGTCTCTTCCCTCGGGAGCTCCTCCTAAAAGAATTGCGAAGGGAGCCGCTGCAGGAATAGCCACGTAACCCGTTCCATCGGTGGTTTTCCAGACAGCTCTCCCTGGGACAGGGGGTCTGTGGGGAGGAACAAGGGCTGGGGCAGCTCCAGCTCTGTGGCCAACTGAGATTTCATGGCAGCAGCTGCTTTGTGTGGAGCTGCATCCTCTGGGAAGAGAGCTTCCAACGATGTGTGTCAGGTTGGGAAGTGAATCTCGGGAAATTTGTGTGACGTGCCGTTGGTTTAAACCGGAGTGTAAGCAATAGGGATAAAATCAACATTTGTCTCAGTACCAGCAGTTTATGTTTGTGACAGATGTATTTCATTGCACTTACACCCATGTAAGAATGGGAGATTCCAGGTGGGGTGGGGTATTTTAGCTTTATTTTGGAACGTTATTTGTTTGTATTCTTTCTGCTTTGCACTTGTAACTTACAGCTTCCAGTGCTGTATTTCAGCATCTGGTTAGTATTAATAGATGGCTGTTTGTCAGCAGTGGCTTTAGGCACAAACTGTGTGGATCCTGTCATCTTTGTGAGCTGAAACTACCAAATCAGGTGCCATGCCAGATAAACAGGAGATGCTAGGTTACCATCCACAGACAAGTTCAACCTGTGGCACAACCCGAGTTGTTGTTTTGGGGTTTGGGAGAAGTTCAGTTTGAGAAGCAGCTCCTTAATTCCAGTGACTTTTTCCTTCCTGGGGTTCACTTGCCCTGTGTCTGGCCGTGGTTTGCAGGGTCTCCCTGCCCTCAGCTGAGCCTTCAGAGCTCTGTAACCCAGGGGTGGCTGCTCAGAGCTTTGCTGCACTTGGGCAAGAGGCTGGGCAGCATGTCAGTCTGGCTCTTCCCTTGTTCTGGTGTCAGCAAATAGATTCCACTCTCCTGAACTTGAAAAAAGTATTTTACATGTGTTTACTTTGCATCATTTCACTCGAAAGCCTGTTAAGTACCTGGAATAACAGCGTTCCCTGTGTTTTGAGTTGCAAAGGGTTTCCTTGCTGTCTGGAGCTACAATGGAGCTGCATCTCACTGTTTGCATGTGCTGTGCAAAACAAATTACTGCGAGTTAAAGTGTTTGAAGTTCTCAAGTTACTTTAGTTTTACAGGCAGAGTTGACAGGTCTGTTCGTGTCTTTACCAAGCATTTTCACACGGGTGCTGGAGCAGTTTTTACTGATCCTAATGGTGCTGATTAAAGCTGAATCCTGAGTGCTTGGTTGGGCTACCCACCCAAATCCCTGTTGGTATCACCATTTTCTCCTGTTCAGAGTGATTCAGATATCATGTCCATTGTGATTATTGGGTGCCCTGTGCTTGTCCTTTCAGGGCAAATCAGTTGTCAGTGGCTTGTTATCAAGATGACTTACAAACTGCAAGTTTAGGAAATATTCCCAGACCATTTAAAAGCCCAAGTGATGGAGCTGACACAATGTTAAACAGAAAGTACTTGTGAGAACATGGGAACGGGAGGCTCCAGGCGTGTCTGAAAGGTGGGGCTCGCTCTCCCTGCGGGGCCCCAGTGTCTCTGGGGTAGCCACCCTGGGGCTGGGGTAGCCACCCTGGGGCTGGATGCAAACCAGCTCCCTGTCACAGGGGCTGTGACACCCAGGGCAATGCCCCCCTGGCTGTGAGACAGATAAGGCACTGACACGGCTGTTTGCCCAAGGGAACGTGCCTGCTGTGCTCACCCGTGGATCTGGAGCCTCACAAAGCTGCACAGAGCCTGTCTCTGACGGTCACCTGGGATGGGGCTCCCAGAAATATGGTCAAGTAGGGGCCTGCAGCCTATCCTCGTGCCTTGTGCCAGGGAGCTCCTGAAACACAGAAGAGCCTTCAAGATGCTGAGAAAACAGGAAAAATACATGTTTACACACACACACAGAGTTACTTTGTGACTAATCTGTTTTGTTGGATCTTTCAAGAATGAGAGTGCGGCTTGCCATCTATGGAGGAATGTGTTTAGAGCAAACACACTATGGATTGATGTCAAATTTAGTTCCTCTTTCTCTAAAACAATGGTAAATGATAAAATATGTGTGTCAGTACATGTGTATATATATTTATATTAAGTTTGAGAGCAGTGGATCAATAGAAGGGGGGAATGTTGGTGTCACATTCCAGACACCATTACGGATTTCTTCAGCAATGCAGATTTATTTCTTTGATTGACTCATTTCATCTTTTTTCCCGTGAGATCCTGAAATCGTACCCTTAAATAATTAGTTTAAAAATTATTTTAAAATATACAACTTAATAGTTGCGTAGTTTCCTCTCACCACTGCTGCTGTGCTTGTGCTGAAGTGTAAAGTTATACTGTCCCTTAATTGTTGCTTGTGTGTAGAGGGTGCTCGTGCCAGCACAGCTGGGCACATCTGTTTGTGCGTTTGGACACTTCACCCACCTGTGTAGAGACTGATGAATGTTCAAAGTAAGGCTTTAAAGGAGATCCCTCGCATCCTGTTCTGCTGTGTCACTGTGGAAGGGTTTGCTCGTACGGGTATGTAAAGTTGGATGCACTGCACGTGTAACTGTGTGTGTGCTGGGGTGAAACGCTGACACTGAGCACCTGATTCTCTGGAGAACGTTAAGCTGGGAAGTTTTAAAGGCCCAGGCTTCTGGATTTCTCCTGCAGAAGGAATACACCTCGACAAGGAGTTGGCACCTGCTGGCAGCGGAACCGGCGATCGCCGAGCGGATGGCACAGTGAATCTGCCCACGGGAGCCCGGGCTGGGTCCTGGGACACCGCTGGGTGATGGCACAGCCAGGCTCACTCCCCTGGGACATCGCTGGGTGATGGCACAGCCAGGCTCACTCCCCTGGGACACCGCTGGGTGATGGCACAGCCAGGCTCACTCCCCTGGGACATCGCTGGGTGATGGCACAGCCAGGCTCACTCCCCTGGGACACCGCTGGGTGATGGCACAGCCAGGCTCACTCCCCTGGGACACCGCTGGGTGATGGCACAGCCAGGCTCACTCCCCTGCAGGCTGAGCCTCGTGCAGCCCCTCGGGGGCTGTGTCACAGCAGCACCAGTGTCCCCAGAGCGTCCCCATACCCCGCGCGGGGCTGTGGGGGATAACGGGGGCTATTCCATGTGCTATTCCATGTGCTGTTCCATGTGCTTTACTCTCTGTGTTGGGCTCCTGCCTGACTGTTTGCTTTGGGTTTTTGTAATTAAAAAAAAAAAAATTGGTTGTGGAATGGAATGTGGCCTTCTCTGCTGTATCCCTTTGAAAAATGCCTGCCTTTGAAGAGGTCTGTTTTAAATAGGTTGTCGTATAAATAATTTCAATCATGATATTCTGTTGTTTTATGAACATCTCTAATTAAATTTAAGATAACTTCTCAGGGAATACTACCATATTATTTATTCTGACAGCCAGAGGAATAAGGACGTTGCATCAGTCTGGAATGCTTGCTAATATGAAATGTTTCACACTTGTTTTCCTGATGAGAGAGGTTCCAGGGCTGCCTTAATTGCCTCTTTCGAATTCTGGACAAATATTTTTGTTTTCTGGGGAGCACACCTTAACATAAAGTAATTTTGAGAGATTTGTAATTGGTATTGCTGAAAGCTGTCTGTGGAGATAAAGCAGGGCAGTGTCTGGAGGTGGCAGAAGCAGTGTGATTTTAACCAAAATGCAGTGCATTGGGTAACCATTTCCTGGTGACAAACCCAGCTGGCAAATCACAGCCGGAAAGATATTGCACAGGGTAACAGCCTGAGGTTCAGCCCAGCACCAGGGCTCCCCTTACAGAATAATGAGTAGATAAATATATATATATTTACATATACACGTGTGTATGTACACAGACATTTTTGATTTCACGTGTTTTGTGTGTGTTTTATGTACAGTTTTTGTCTTTCTGGAGGAGGGTAAAGGGAGAGCCTTGAAAAGTCCTTCCCTGCTCTTATCAACACAGCAGCCTCAGCTGCCCTCCTTGGATCCCCTGCCAGGGTTGCTATCATCTTCTGATCAAATATTAATGTGTGATTCTCTGCTTGCTCACTAATCCAAAGCCAATTAATATTATCTGTCAATTATTTACAGATCCTGAGGTGCGGAGGCAATTCCCAGAGGGCTACAGTGACCAGGTTTGGAATGCGTAATTAATTTTTTACATGACAAAATTTATTTCAGGGTTGTTCAACATATTATTGCTGCTCTTTTTACTGAAAGAGATAAATGCATTCTTAGAAAGGAAAAGAAGCTGTAATTAGGAGCAGAAGGATAAAAACATTTTTACACTGAAGGCAGCAAATGGAAGAATTGGGCCCTCATAAGGTTGGTTTACAGCCCCGATTTTACAGGCGAGCATGAGAGCGGGCAGGAAAATTGATTAATAAATTTCCCTTTCTGCCTTCAGGTGCCAGAGCCTCAGTTCCTTTGGCAGAGCTCTCTGCATTGTCTGAGGGTTTATGGCTGTGTTTAACTGGGCACCTGGCACTCCAGCACATTGCTGAAATTCCTGCCTGCTCAGGCAGCCTCTGCTGTGTTCAGAGAGATGGTGTAAACCCCAAAGTGCGGGTGTGGGATCGATCAGTTAGTTTGAACACAGGCTGAGTTAGGCATTTTTCACCGGATCTGTCGCTGACTTGGAAATGAGCAACTTCAAGTGACGTTGTATTCTCCCGGGCTTTCCTGTGTCTCCTCAGGAGCTGACTGGGCTGGGGGCAGAGCTTGGGGAGGGGCATTATTCCAGAGGTGTCTTCAGGCCCCTGGAGTTCCTGTGGGTGCTGGTGGTCAGCACTGGGTGTCAGTGCCAGCTGAGCTCCCGCACTGCAGTTCCTGGGAAGCGCTGAACTTACGGCACTGTGTAACTGTTTCATATAAAGTAATATAAAAAAGTATAGAAAGTAACTTCTGCCTCAAGGTATCCCTGAGATTGGGTGATAATAGGTCAGGCTCAGCACAGCTGTGTTATCTCAGGTCCTTTCCCTCTAGTTATGTATTCAAGCAACATGAAATTCGGGGTCGTTTAGACTGAAGCATTTCACAAACTGGGGGCTGTGGTGCTTCACCAGGGCCAGGACAAATGTTTCCATGTTGGGCTGTAACCACTCTGTGCAGTGGGGCCTTGACCAGGCCTTCTGGGTGGGTTTGTAGTAGTAGTAGTAGTAGTAGTAGTAGTAGTAGTAGTAATATTTTTCCAAAGCATCTGTTAACTGCTTTTCCCTACAGTTCATTGTTAGGGCTCCCTGTGCCCTTGGGTGCAGCATGGAACTAACCCTTGTGAGGACTGCACCCCTATTGCCTCTGAGGGCCTGTGATTTGTTAATAACCATGCCTGTGTGTGCGTTTACCTCAGGACTAACTTCTTTTCAGCACACTGTGTAGTGTCCAGTTAGCTGGGTGTGAGCTGATGGCCCTTCAGAGCTGGGACGAGCAGTTGTGTCCCTGATCAAGGTATTACAGGAGAGCTTGTAATACAATTGACTGTATAGAATTCTGAACAGCCCCCTTTCTTCTGCTGCAAGTGATTAGACTTGTATAATATTGCTATGAATATGCAAGACTGAATCAAACTCAGAGGAGCCACAGGCTCATAAAAATTCTTAAGATGTTCACCCAGTCCCAGTCAGAATTTCCGATGGCTGATGTCAGACCCCCCCAAACACATAGAGCTGTGTTTGTGTGGCTGTGGGGGTGGGTTCTTACATTGTCACGTATTTTGCACATGCCAACTTACAGGGAAAGCAAAAGAGGGGAGGCTGAACTTCTCAGCCTCGAGCAGATTTCAAAAACGCTTTTCCTGTTGATGCACAGAAGGAGTTATTTTCTGGTCCTGGTAGCTGGACATGTCCAGAGCTGACAGATCTGCATTTGAAAAATCACTTGTAAACATTCAAATAAACCAGAGAGGAAGAGCTGCATCCGTGTTGTTACTGATGAATTTAGAGCTCTGAGAAACAAATAAATTGCAAATCAGCCCAGTTAGGTTTATTTCTTAAAACTTCTGGTTTATTGTTTTTTGGAAGAAAAAAATGTCAAAGTGCCAAGTCACTGCAGACCAAGATCCACAGAACAAACCCCTTGATTTCTCCATGTGTTCCTGTATGCAAAGGAGAGAGATGATCTGCGTGTTAGTGCAGGCAAAAATTGTTTCTAGCAATCAAAGATTTATGGTTTAATCCAGAAGGAATATTTGAGTTAAATCAACACAAGGTAAAGCACTTATTAGTAAGAGGAAAAAAAAAAAAAAAAGGAAAAACACCTCAAGTTTTTTTTATTCATCTAAACTCTCAGTGCTTGTTTTTACATACACTGTATTTCCCATGTACCAGCACATCTGATCAGAGACCCTCACTGCTGCTAGATGTTTTATTCTGTGTGTTCTTTGTACCTTACAGTAAAAGAATCTGTCACAAATTATTGTGCCTCACTGCTTTAGAAACTGAGAAAAAAGGGAGGTTAGATTGACATCTGTGACTGAATAATGATGACCAGCCTTTTGGCTCCCCTTGAGCCACAAAGCCAGCATTGCCTTTAGAGAGGAAAAAGGAGTAAGAAGAAAGGGGAGGGATAAAAGAGAGTTACAAATCTGTGGTCCCGGAGATGTATTACTGTTGGGCCAGTTGTCTGCGTGGTATGATAATCCATTTTGATCTTCTGTCTTAATTGTCTGCTAAAGACAAATGGGCAGTAAAAGTTCATCAGTTTCATCTTTTGCTTCTCATTTAGAGGCAGAATAAATGATCCATGGCTACAGAAGAAACCTTTCTTTCTGACACGGAAGTAATGCAGACCCAACACGTTTTATTAAAATATTTCTCCCTCATTATTTCAGTCCTCTCAGCTCTGATAGATCTTACTGTTTCATGAAAAATGTAATCTGAAATGTAAATAAGGGGTTTGATACAAAGTCAGGAAGTAATGAGCAGGCCAGCCACATTGCAGGAATTTTGATTGTAATTACTGACAAAGTGAATTCTGCGTGTCCTAATTTTTTTCCCTCAAGTTGTCTTTGACACGTTCAGACCACAATGACATCTACGGTTTAAATCTGTTAAATAACTGTATAAGGGAATATTTTACAGAAAATGTCATAGACAAGGTAACTGAGGAGCCTTACTAAGGGGAGAAAATGCTAATGATTGCTCCAGGCCACTTGAAATGGGTAAAACGGGGCTCCTTTGAGTGGCAGGAGGGGGCTGCAGTGATCTTGAGAGACATTTTTATAATAAGAATGTTTTAAGTTGTTGGGCTGTTTGATAATGGCTTTCAAGAACAAACTGTGTGTTTATGTGTTTGTGGTTGTACCTAGCATGAAATCAATAATTGTTGGTATTATAAGCAACAGTTTCTCAGAGCTGGCTTTTTAGCATGACCTCCGAATTTAAACCAGATGAGAACTTGGTTTTTCTTTAGAAAATGCAGTCACTTCAGGGAGAAGTATCCTTTTAAAAATTAGAGAAATGCTTCTGTGTCACTGTATTTTGTGGTTTGGGTTCCTGGCCAAACTTCAGTAATGAAGTTATTATTTTAAGGTGAGGTCCTGTGCTATTGCAATATTGCAAACACCAAACCACAGCTGGGCTGCTTTGCCCTTATCACCACGTGCATTTCGGCCGTCCACTGTTTGGAAGATTAATGCCAAGATGAACAGCTCTCCTGGGCCAATTAATTTAAACACAGGGAAGTTTGCAGCAAAGATACAAACTTCTGTCAGAAGCAATGTCACAGCAAATAGTTGTTGTGTAAATATATAAAAATAGAGAACAGTAAAACAATCAGCGAGAGCTGGGGGAGGAATTGCACAATCTTGTCAAACACAGTATATTTTTTAATATTTTTTGGGGGGGTTGGGTAGTGCTTCATTTGGGCCCTGGCTGTTTCAATCTTTATAGCTCATCTGGAAAGGAACTCAGAAATGCTGTGCTGATGGTTCCCGTTTGTGAGCTGCTCTCAGTGGTATGATGGCTTGTCTGTAGTTTGATGAACTATTGTATGCTCAGTTAATTACTCCAGGAATGACTGAGGTATGTGTGCTTGCAAGCTGGTACTTATGCAGATTGCTACTTCTATTCTGCTGGTAATTTTTCTTTCCATTGGCGCTGAAACAGAGTTTATAACGAAACCAACAATCTTTATACATTTATAGATAAGCTGTAAAACTTTTATGGCAGTCTTTATATAGAAACTAATGGTCTTTCTTGTACCAAGTCTGTGAGCATTGTACAAACATTGCACACAGGGAAAAATAAAAAGCACTTTCTTTGTGTCATTGAGAGTTGTGTGATTGGAGGGTACTTAAATAGTGCTGGCCACAAATGGAGCATAAACCCCCCTGTCTTGAGAAGTCTGTGTGCTCTGAGGGGACTGGCTTGCTTGAACAGGGATGATTATAATCCAATTGGATATTTCTGAATTGCACACAGTGTTCTGAGCATAAACCCCTTGCCTTGCAGGCTGCATACACCGTGTGATAGAACCTGCCTTAGGAGCAGTTTAAAATAGTGGCTGTCCTTCCAGGAGCAAGTGAAGAAGCTGGGTTGGAAAGGTTGAGTAATTAGTCATTTAGAAACTCTAGAAAAGAGGTGCTGGTGTTGTGAAAGCCACTTTGTGTTAAAGCAAGGCAGTGTAAATAGTAAATGTATGGAGTGTTTGATACTCACTTGTGAAGTCTTTGCCACTCTGAGTGTGTGCAGAGCCCTCCCACTGCACTTGGACAGGGAGGCTTTGTCCCTGAAATCCAGATGAACCAGGGTGGATGGGGCAGGACAGTGTGGCCACTGCCCTGTGCAGTGACTGCTGTCAGCAGGATGGTGAACCAGCAGCAGGAACAGACACCTTTGGGTGCCCAGGGACGGGTGAGGAGCTGCCCCTGTCCCTCTGGGCAGGTGGGACAGGGCTGTGCCACTGGAGCTCTTTGCAGGACACGGACCCCATGAGGACAGAATGGTGGACAGGACCAGACCATGGGCTTTGACTGCAGAGCTGAGGGTTTCCTGAATGCAGGGTGGTTTTGTAGACCAGATGTATTTGATCTAATATAGGAAAGTAAAGAAAAATCCTCATTGGTTCCTCATTTGCTCTTTCTTAGGCATCCTTGTCGTATGGTACAAGTTGGTTTTTCATTACCTTTTCTTTAGGC